GTCTGGTACCCAAGAGATGTTTGGACCTCAGGGAAAACACAGCAGCTTTAGTGCAGCAGATATAAATCAGAGTGGCTAAGAGACAGGACATTCTGTTGGCAAGTGAGGAAAAGGTGACTGTATAAGGAAGTGGGAAAAAGAATTGCAACACAGTATTTTCTAAGATCTGTTTTAGAAAAAGAGCAAAAACCCAAATGTAGAGAACCAGGAAATTGATCTTAGCCTTATCTGTTCCCATGTGCCCTCTGGGTACCTGAACATAATTTGAAGACCATTATAATAGCATATCTTTTACACAAAGATTTCTCCCCTTTAGTTATAGTCTATGTTTGCCTTATAAAATAACTGTATTTTACAGGGTTATTCAGATACTATGCATTGTATACTTGACTAGCTTATGTAAATAATAGGAACAGTAAAGACAACACAGAATTTATAGTGTTTATAAAATCTAAATGCTGAAATAAAATCTGGACTTTTTAGCATTTGGAGGCACAATGAGGAGCAAACTGATAGCTTGCTCCCTTGAGGTCCCTTTTCCTATGTAAGGCCAGAAAGTAAATATTTTAGGCTTTATGTGGCCTCTTTTAAAATTTGCCACAATGATGTAAAAGCTGCTACAGATGACATAGAAACAGGCGAGGACTACTGCTTTTAGGGCCAGTTTATATGTGGCCACATGGCAAGCTCAGCCAGGGCCCCCAGAAGGTGTGTTGGCATTCCTTTTCTGATGACGATAACACTTTTTGAGCTGCAAAAGTGATATAATTGGGGCACATTTCTAAAATTATGGCTAATTAAAAGTTTAGAATTAATCATCACATTATCTAATTTTATGGTTCATAAAAAGCAAAAGTCCTTTTCATCTTGTACGTTCATGCTGATAAAAGCCTTCGGTTGGCAACATAGATACTCGGGGTTTCTGATTTAAATTGTCATTTTTATTCACTTAGTATGTTTGTCTCTATTTTCTTCAAATAGAAGAGACCACTTAAAAACTAGTAATAAGAACTGTTTTAAGTCTAGGATGTTTAAGAAATAAAATCCAGGGGTATTTTCTACGTCTTTTAATCTAGCACTGTGTTTCTTAATATATGATCCTGGGGACTGGGGCTGTAGCCCAGTGGTAAAGCACTTGCTTCACAAATGTGAGGCACTGGGTTTGATCCTCAGCACCACATAAAAATAAATAAATATATTGTGTGTCCATCTATAACTAAAAAAAATATTTTAAAAAATATGATCCTGGGACCTGCAGCATCAACATCACCTGAGAATTTGGAAGAATATTAAATTCTTGGGCCCCCCAGGCCTACTGACTCTTGGGTTCTGCATTTCAATAACCCTTTCACATGATGGTAATATACACTTAATGTTGGAGAACCACTGGTCCAGTATATACCAGGTTCTTACTACATTCTTTTTAAAATATCTTCGTATTGTCCTTCAGAAATATCTTTCAAATTTGACTTTTCTAAACCTCTCCTATTGCTCTACACAAACTACAAGTGAGTTTGTTTGGGTTTTGGGGGATCAAACTCAGCCATGCTCTGTCACTGAACTACATCCTCACTCCTTTTTATTTTGAGACAGAATCTCACTAAGTTACCCAAGTTGGCCTACAACTTGTAATCCTTTTGCCTCCACCTCCTGAAGAGCTGGGAGTACAGATGTGCACCACCTCACCCTGCTTTTTTTTAATTCTTATTTAGTAATACATGACAGTAGAATGTATTCTGGCAAATTATACATACATAGAGTACAACTTTTTCTATTTAGGATCCCACTCTTGTGGTTGTACATGGTGCAAATTTACACTGTCATGTATTCAAATACAAGGCTAGGAAAGTTATGCCTGATTAATTCTGCTGTCTTTCCTCTTCCCCTCCTACTTCCTATCCCTTCATTTCCTTTTATTTAATCCAATGGATTTCTATTATTCCCCTCCCCAACTTCCCTTATTTTAGGTTAACATCTACAAATCAGAGAAAACATTCAGCCTTTGCTTTTGGGGGGTATTGGCTTATTTCACTTAGAATGATATTTTCCAGGTCATCCATATACTGGCAAATGCCATTATTTCATTCTTCTTTATGACTGAATAATACTCCATTGCATATATATAACACATTTTCTTTATCTATTCATCTATTGAAGGGTATCTAGGTTGTTTCCATAGCTTGGCTATTGTGAATTGACCTGCTATAAATACTGATGTGGCTGCATCACTGTAGTATGCTAATTTTAAGTCACTTGGGTATATAACAAGGAGTAGGATAATTGGGTTAAATGGTGGTTCCAGTCTGTTTTCTAAGTAATCTCCATACTGATTTCCATAGTGGTGGTGAAGATTTTCTCCCATTCTGCAGGATCTCTGTTCACATTCTTGATTTTTTTTTTGCCACAAAGAAGCTTTTCAGTTTAATACCATCCCATTTATTGATTATTGATTTTACTTCTTATGCTTTAGGAGTCTTATTGAAGTTGGTTCCTAAGCTAACATGTTAGAGGGCCTATTTTTTCTTCCAGTAAGTGCAGAGTCTCTGGCCTAATGCCAAGCTCCTTGCTTCAAGTTTTTTAAATTGATCTTCCCTACCACCATATTAGATATACACTCATTCATTCAATAAAAATATGTGGAGTACCTAATATGTATCAGGCACTATGTCAGATACTGAGTGTAAGTCAGGGAATAGGAGAAATAAAATCCAAAACAAATGGAATCTTACCCTGTTTGGAGGAGCCCATCAAAACATAATTATCCAAATTATTTAATATATTTAAAAAAGAGATCAATCTAATTACCTTCTGCATTGGACTCTGCTCCAGACACATGAATTCTTGTTATCTGGACATGCCCTTTATCTTCAGGTAGCTGACTTTTTAAAAAAAATTTTACTTCTAAGAAGCCTCTTCAGCATCTCCTTGTCCTGTCTGGCATTGTCACCACTGTACGCCCACAGGCAGTAGTACACTCTAATGTGGTAGCACTTATTACAAGTTAACTCCTCTTAGTTGTTTGTCACCTGTATCAGGGTATTAAGAGTCAGTGACCTGACATTCATCTTTATACTTAGTACTTGCAAACTTGCTGGAGGTGCTCAATAAATATCTATGGAATGAGTATTATATTTGGTTTTGTGTTACTATAACAGAATATCCAAAGCTGGGAAAATTGAAAAGAAAAGACATTTATTTGTCTCACAATTCTGATGGCTAGAAAATCTAAATAGCCTTGTGTGTTTAGAGAGAGCCCATGGCTATTTCTCAACATGGCAGAGAATCAGAAAGGGAAACAACTGTGTGCAGGAGAGGTCAAGCACTGGGGGCATCCTGACTTTTTATCAACCCCATCTCGGTAATTAATCCAGTCATGCAAGGCAAGCATCATCCCCTTCATCAGGTGAGCACAATCTGATTACCTCCCTCTAGGTTCCACCATGTACAGGTCCCACACCTTTCTATAGGTTGCATTCAGGACCAAGTTTACAGCACAGGAACAAACCATAACCAGACCAGAGCAGAGGAATTGAAATAGTTCCTCAGACATGATGTCAAAATAGTTTTAGGTGTGTTCCTCCAATCTATAGATTTCTCTCCCAATAAAGGTTTCAGGAAAAAAAATGTATCAGCTATGGAATAAAACTATATTAGGAAGTATGGATCCTATAGAAACATGAAATTCATACTAACAGTAATGGTAGCAGTTACAAACAATGTTTTGTATTGAGCACTTACTACAGGCTAGGCACTACTCTGTGTGTGTCACTCATAAACTAATCCACCAATTACAACCCCTAAATTTCTATTTAACCTTGTTCAAAGAAAGTGCTTATCCTTTCTTCAGTTTTAATTTACAATCTTTTTGATGGTAAAGACCTTCTGATACCTAAATTTCCTGGTTTCCTGAAATGCCACATACTTTGTTCTCCATTAAGTTACCAACTGTGAAATGATATTTGTTACATATGCAGAATCTCAGTCATTTTAAGAATTGCTAAGTTCAGCTATAGACTCTCTAAATTATTTTCCTGAACTGTCCCTTAAGAAACATAGAGATAATTCAAGAAAAGTAGAAAGCAAGTAAAGATTGTGCTACCACTCTCTTTCCATGCCATATCAAGATGGTTTTCAATTAGCATTATTTTTGTGGTTGCTCTTCAACAGCTATTTATGCATTAGGCCACATGCATGTGCAGAGTCCAAGAGACACGGATGGAGATCCCTTACCTCACTCTCACCCACCCTCTCCCCAAATGGCCAAGAAGTAGAAATGAAAGAGGAATGGGTCAGCTTAATCACATTGACAATGTTGTTGACTTTTACTAAGCAAGAACTGTCCACACCAACTGAAAGCTGTGTTGTCTTAAGTAATTTTCAAAAAGCAAATATTTTTCTTGAAATATCACTCTGTAGGCTGTCTAATTGGACTGAGAAGCCTGACCATACAAAGATTGACCTCTAATCCTTTTCCAGGTTCCTTCTTCTAAATATTAAAGTACACATGTACTTCAGGGAAGTCACAGCTCCCATCCTGAGAGGACACACTCACAGTTTCAGCTGAGGTCCCAGAGACCACTGTCCCTCTCTAAATGTGCTTTTTGGATCTTTTGAAATAAATGATTTTTTAAAAAAATAATTGTCAGGGAAAAGACAGAAAAAGAAATCCAGGTAGCTTTTTATGGCTTATTCTTTATTCATTTGATGCCACGATTTTATTGTTGTTACAATAGGAATTCTGAATTTGGATGAGGAAGGATGAAATGAGGGAAAACTGAACCCCTTCCTGATAAGGGCTGTCTCAGTCATTTCATAATCATAAGACTGTGGGAGCCAAGGTGGAGACCAACACACCCTGTCACAGAATAAGAGGCAGAAAGTAATAGCAACAGTAACACTTTACTTGCCAGAGATAGCATTTACCCTCTGTTAAGGCGCTTTACAGAAAATCACTTTCTGGTCTCTTGAGCTTATCTCTCTCTTTTTTTTTCATTTTAAAGAAGTTCTCTTTGCAGGTAAAGACAAGATTAAAGTGACTGAGAAAGAATTGAAGAAGCTCCTTCTCATTAAATGGTGCATTTTGGAAACCATTCGGTTAAGAGCCCCTGGTATTATTACTAGAAAAGTAATGAAGCCAATTAAAATTTTGGTAAGCTTTGGGTTTTTTGTTTTAAAATGATCAACCTTCTAGGAAAAAAAAGTACCTATTTGCTTATATATTTTATTTTTAATTGATATATTACTGATTAATTTTAACTTATTTTTAAAGGATGAATTAAATTTGAATATACATATTTGGATATATATGTGTATATATATATATATGTGATATATTTACCATATAGAACATTTTGTAGTTTGCAAACAGGTAGAATGCCTAAATCAAGCTAATTAACATATATATTGTCTCACACACTTATTATTTTTCAACATGTCTTTATTAGCAATTTTCAAGAATACAATACATTGTTATTAACTATAGTCAACATATTACACTATAGATATCTTGAACTCATTTTTACTATATAACTGAAATTTTGTATCACTTGACCAACATTTCTCCAGGTCCCTCTCAGTCCCTCAGCCCCTGGTAACTCTCATTCTTTCCTCTCTTCTGGTTCCAACGTCTTTAGATTCTACTTTATAAGTGTCACTGTGTGTGGTATTTGTTTGTCTGTTTCTGTGTATATCATTTGACATAATGTCATCCAGGCTCATTTGCGTTGTTGCAAATGACAGGATTTACTTCTTTTAAAAGGCTGAATAGTATTTCTTGGTGTGTATGTGTGAATTTTTCTTTATCTGTTTATCTGCTGATGGACACAGGTTGATTCCATATCAGGATACTATAAAGAATGCTGAAGCAAACATGGGAATGCAGATATATCTTTAGTGTACAGATTTCATATTCTTTGAAAATATGCTAAGTACTGAGGCAGCTGGATTATATGGTAGTTTTAAGTTTTTAAGAAAACTCCATACTGTTCTTCCATTATGGCTGTACTAATTTACATTACAAACCAGCAACAGTTTGCAAGGCTTCTCTTTACTCCACATCTTCACTAACACTTATCTTTTTGATAATAGAACTTCTGACAGATATGAAGTGTTGTTATGGCTTTGATTTGCATTTTCCTGATTATTAGTGATGTTGAGTATTTTTTTGTATACCTGTTGGCCACTAGTATGACTTCTTTTGAGACGTGTCAATTTATATCCTTTGACTTTTTTTAATCAGTTTTTTCCTTTCCATTGAGTGCTTAATATATTTGTGATATTAACTCTTCTCAGACAGTATGAAGTGCAAATATTTTCTCTCATTCTATAGTATCTCTTTACTTTGGTAAAGATTGTTTCCTTGGCTGTGCAGAAGCTTTTCAATTTAATGTAATTTCATCTGTCAGTTTTTGCTTTTGTTGCCCATGCTTTGGGGTTCATATGCAGAAAAATATCAGGGAGATTTCCCCCTATGTTGCATTTTACTGGCTTTACAATTTTAGGTCTTAAGTTCAATCCATTTTGAGTTGATTTTTGCGTATTTTTGAGATAAGGATCTGATATGTTTCTTCTGCATACAGGTAGCCAGTTTCCCCAGCACCATTTATTAAAGAGACTGTCCCTTCTCCATTGTGTATTCTTGGCACCTCTATCAAAATCAGTTGACATGTTTTTATTTCTGGGCCCTGTATTCTATTCCATTGGTCTATGTGTCTCTTCCATTAGTCTGTGTGTCTGTTCTATTGGTCTATGTGTCTGTTTTTCTGCCAGTACCATGATTTTAAAAAAATTAGTTTTATTTTTAGTTGTTGATAGATCTTTATTTTATTTATTTATATGCAATGCTAAGAATCAAACCCAGTGCCTCACACATGGCAGGCAAGTGCACTACTGTTGAGCCCTAGCCCCAGACCCAACCATGAGGTTTTGATCATGGTTGTATGGTTGTATCACTTTGTAGTGTATTTTGAAGTCGCATAGCACGATGCCTCCAGCTTTGCTTGTTTTGGTCAAGATAGATTTGGCTGTTTAGGGTCTTTTGTGATTCCATGTGAGTTTTAGGATTATTTTTTCTGTTTCTGTGGAAAATGTCATTGGAATTTTGATAGCACACATTATTGTACAAGTCCTGAAATTCTAGTAAGCACTAAGTGACCCTGGAACAGGTTACTAATATAAGTTGTAGGCACCATTTCATTAATGTAGAATATAACCTTGTGCTCATCTTTCTGACCACGTGATCCTATGTTAGAATCAGTGTCATCTTGTTCAAATCAAGCAGGTGGGTCAGATGGTCTCTTCTCTGCCAATTCAACCAATTAGTTCCCAAGCCACAATGGGTTGAGGAGTTCAGAATGTGAAAAAAATTCTTTTGGATAACTAGAAGACGATTTCAGGCCACAGATTGTAGATGTGGTAAAAGATAGCAGGAAAGTCATGGATAATCTCAGTTGATACTAGGAGTCAGCAGCTGAGTGAGGAAGAGAGGGGCTTTCTATGAAAAGCAGGGGAATATTCTCATGTGCACCATGAAAAGGTATGTGTACATTGGCAGACTTTCCATTACGTATTTGTGAGTCAATCAGGCAGAATGAATTTATTTTAGAGTGATTTGATTTACGGCCTGCATTTTCTCGAGCGATCACATTTACTCAGTCTTTCACCCTTGTTTACTTTTGTTAATACATAGCTTATGAGTGCTTGAATTCAAACCAAGGGAATTTTGGAGTAGAACACAAAAGAGATAAAAATTCAAATTTTAATAATAGTTAATGAGTGTTTCTTCCAAAGGAGACAAAGTTTGTTTAACTAGTCTCACATAAATAATAGACTTTTGTTTTAGCAGGACAGTTCCCTGTTTTTCATTAATCAAATTATTAATTGATTCAAGTTGTGGCTATGAGTGAAAATATTCTTTGAGAGGAAATATTCTGCTTGGTTTCAGTTAAGTAGAGAAATATGTTAATCCCTGAATGGCACTACAACTTTATTGAACTTTTATTAAGACACATTTATATTTTGATTAGTAAATAATTAGCAGTTACAACTTAGTTATTCATCTGTCAGTAGGTATTCTTAATTGATGCTTTAAGCATACAGATCCTGTGGGTGATTTTTTTTAAAAAAATATTTATAACTTGAACATATCATTCATTTTGAAACTTTCATTTAATGGTATTTTTTAAAGTTTGGTTTTCAGTTATATATTAATTATAGAAATTACATTTGATTTTTGTGTTGACATTGTATCTGCAACTTTGCTAAACATAATTTATTGACTGTCTAGAAATATTTTTATAGATTATAGGAATTTTTTAATGTGGACAATATTTTTGTTTCTTTCTCTGTTATCTGTGTGCCTTTTATTTTATTTTCTTGCTTTATTACACTGGCACTAACTTCCAGCACTATGTTGACTACTAGTGGAAACATTAGATATTACTTTGTTCCTGATCTAGAGTGGAAAGCATGCATTTATTTATTTTTGCTGGGGATCAAACCCAGGGCCTTGTGCATGCAAGACAAGGACTCTACCAACTGAGCTATATCCCCGGCCTGAAAATGTTTTATCTTTTACCATTAATATAAAGTTGTGCTTAGGGTTTTTTTTTTTTTTTAGATGCTCTTTATCAAATTGAAGAAATTTTGCTTTTCTCTACTTTTCTGATAACTTTCATCATGGATTGAATTTTTTTTAAAGAGAGAGAGAGAATTTTTTAATATTTATTTTTTAGTTTTCGGTGGACACAACACCTTTATTTTATTCTTATGTGGTGCTGCGGATCGAACCCAGCACCCCGCGCATGCCAGGCGAGCGTGCTACCGCTTGAGCCACATCCCCAGCCCCATGGATTGAATTTTGTCCAGTACTTTTCTGCATGGATTGATTGTTGTATTTTCTTGTTATCCTGTTGATATAATGGATTAAACTTGCTGATATTTGAATGTCGGACCAACCTTTCATACCTGGAGTAAATCTCACTTGATCATGGTATATAATTCCTTTTCTGCATTGTTGGATTTATTTTGTTAATATTTGGCTACGGATTTCTGGTCAAATTTTGTAAGAGAGATTGATCTATAATTTGTTCTCCTCATTTTACTGGCTCATCTGTTTTCTCTCATGACAGTCTCTTTAAACATATTTTATGTTAATTCTGCTCCCTTTTCATAAATCCTCAGATTCCTTCTTTCCTTCCTTCCTTTCTTCCTTCCTTCCTCTTTCTCTCACCTTCACCTTTGTAGGACTCCTCCTTTCTCTTCAGGACTCCACTTTGCTTACACCCACTAATACCCACTTAGCTCTTGATACCCTTTCTTAAGTTACAAGAGGGAGTCTTCCCTTCTCTTCCCTTTTCAAGCAAGGTCTGCCTTCAGATTAGCAGATGAAACTCATTTGGCCTCACAGCATCCAGGTGAGGTGGGCTGGCCAGGTTCAATTCTGTCAGTCTGCTCGATGCAGTTACTGCAACACAGAGTGATGTTAACTTCCCTTTACTGGGGTTCTACATTCTGGTCCTGCCAATGTTCTGTCTTCCTCTCGATCTTTCTCTTCATTTGTTATGTAAACAAAGATTGAGATTTGTTAGCCTTTTCAGAGGATTTCTGTGATGCCAAAAGCTAACATATTCTTTTCTGCTATTCATCATCATCATCATCGTACTGGAAGATTCTTTCTTGTGTCCTCCCTCTTGCTAATGTTAATTTTGTTCCTGGAGGCCTGTTTGAAGTCTCCTTTACTCCCTTTACTCTGTAGCCAGATTTGTGGGTGGCAGCAGTGAGCAGTCTCCAAGTGATAATCACAACAGTGGGGACCATGGAGTGAGGTGAGGAGGGACAGAATTTTTCCTGAGCTGCCCCCAGTTCCTCCCCCACATACACATTAGGTACCTCTAGAACTGATTTAGAAGTAATTGTGACCCCTCTAGCCTTAATTCCAGCAGAAATAAAATGAACATTGAGGATTGGAATCTCAGGGTTCTCCTTTTCTTTTTAAAATGGTTAGAAGACCCCAGCTAAAGTATCTTTCCAGTTTGGGAGCTGATTCTCCCCAGCTCTCCTCTTACTTGCCAAATCTCAACATATTCAACTCCCATAGGAGTTGACAGGGGTTCTGGCAACTCTCCGCTACAATTAAAAGACCTATTTTAAATTGTGAGGTATATCATTTGTATACACAAAGTATTTTTCAGATATTGTGAGAATATTTCAAAGTCATGCAGAGTTAAACAGACATGCTTAGGATGACTGAGCATTACCTCATAAAATACTTCATTACAGTAAAGTTGATCGCCTTCTAGTGATCACACAACTTGTGAGATCTTATCTTGTGGTTCCCGCAAATGGTGAAGAAAGGGAGATTCTATGAAATAGCTTTAGTTCTGAGTGTATAATCTATAGATCAGGAAAACTTATTAGCACATGAATTGGAAAGGATGACATCCACTCTTCTGCTTCAGAAAACCCTTGTTTATTCCCAGTCCCATGAATACTGCAACCCCAAATATAAACCCCACCAAATAAATGCACAACACTTGACTTTTCCTGTGTTTTCCTAACCAGTTGTCCTTAACTTCTTCCCGCCCCAATAACTGCTGTTGGATCAAAATAATAATAATAATTTAAAAATAAAATAATCCACTGACCCCTGCCCTGACATACTATCTTCAGTATTCTCAGGGACAGGACACAACTGCTTCTGTCCTCAGTGTTATAGTGGCCATGGTCCCTGTCTTAAGAGTTAGATTTTTTTTTTTTTGTTCCACAACCTAGAGATTCATTGTGGTTTCCATGAAGAACATTGGCTGCAAACCCAACATCAAATATCAAAAGCTGCTTTGGAATGGATTAATACTCATTTCTAAAATTCTGACACTTACCTAATATTTTCCTCTGTGTAATCAAATATATGTAGGTATAACTAAGAATCAAAATTAGAAGTCAGTCATTGCCAAGTTGTATAGTAGAAGGGAATTGTCCAGAAAAGATAGATTTTCTCACCATCAATTATGAAATGTTTGTTGTTGTTACAATATAGTTGTAGCATTATTTTTAAAGACCCAAATGCTCCTCAAAGGAAATTTTTAAAAATGATTTGGAACCGATTTTTTTTTTATCATAGAATTTTACTATTCCTTCTGGTGACCTGTTGATGTTGTCTCCATTTTGGCTACACAGAAACCCAAAGTATTTTCCTGAACCTGAACTGTTCAAACCTGTAAGTTCTCTTTCAATACACATTACTCTTTGATTAAAAAAAAAAAAATTGGGGGGGTAGGAGTTTGAATTAATAAACTAAAATTATATTTTTACACACCTATATGTCTCTAGTAACTAGAAACATAAACAAAGTTGGCTTCAAAGTACAATTTTCAAAGTAGACAGTGTAGCACTTACAAATCAGATAGGAAAGCTTTAGGAAGAAGCATCCCAAACTTTAAAATAATTTTTTTTTTAATCTGAAAACAGGAGGCATGTTAAAGTAAATACCCTCGGTTCTAATAGAAGAATTGTTTCATACTTTTTGGGCAATTGCTTGTGTTATTGGTTTCCAAGGAATAAACAAAATAAAAAGCAAATTAAAACAGTGATCTGTTATTTCTTATAACTAGAGAGTTACAGGGCTGAATAGAATCTTAAGAGGCCATTCAGTTCATTCTCTGCCTTTAGGTAAAACTGTCAAAACTAGACACCAGATGTATTCATTCTATGTCCTCAGCTTTCTCTAATAGGCAGGGCTGTTGGTGTCTTATTACTAAATTTATTACAAAGACCAATTTTATGATGGAGCCTAAGACCTTATTATAAATACACTTCTCCTTAGGTCCATTCTGTGGTTGATTTATGTTATCATTTATATTTACCACTTAACAGAATTCTTTTTCAACCTTTTTATTTATAAGTTCCTGTTCCAAAACCACAATCGTGTCTGATATTAATAACAGGTTGGAAAAAATTACCAACAACCCTGCAACTTTATATGCAAGGATTAGCTGTACAAGGTCATTTTTAGCCTAGAGACATAAAGTTAAGCTTATTTATATAAGGCTGATTTGGAAAAAAAAATGTTTTCTTCCCACAGGAACGCTGGAAAAAGGCAAATTTAGAGAAGCATGCTTTCTTGGACTGCTTCATGGCATTTGGAGGCGGGAAGTTCCAGTGTCCTGGAAGGTCAGTGAGACAGCTGGGCCACATTTATCTAGAAAGTCAGCAGAAAGATGGCGGCCCACAGGGGGACACTTTGGCTTAACCTCTCCACTACAGGGAAATCCAGGAGAGGACAGTTTGTTTGGTTGGTCAGTGGTGTTTTAAGATGTCTTTGTAGGAATGTGTTGGCTTCTGTTGGGAGGCCTCCTGAGAACACATATTTCACTTGCAAATGCCAGAGAGACGCAGGACTTCTCTGGATCAAATGCTTGGCTTTCACCGAAGGATAATAATGAAGTGGTTTGAATGCTATGTTTTTTAAAAAAACTACAACTACAATGTCACTGTGGATGTTTGCTGGGATTATTGAACATCCTTACCTTGGAACACAGCAGCAGTTAGTTGTTTTTTCTTTACAGAGTTAGTTTCCTTCTGCAAAACCTTTCCCTGGGTATCTTCCATATGTAAATGAATCTGCTACCCAGGATTCATCTTTAGTGTGATGCCCTGTTCTAGTACAAGTATGCATCATTTCCTGAAATTTATACTATTTATCCAAACAGAAAAAAAATTTTTAAACTTATCTCCCTTATGCCAGACCCTCTGCTAAGTATGGGAAATAGCACAGTCCCTGACTTCATAGAATTCAGTCTACACTAAATAAGTCTCATTTCTTCCTTGAGGAAGATTCCATAGGTAAACACTGATATCTCGGTGTAACAAAATCTCACTCAGTGGGTGTACAAATCTTTTAAAACATTTTACACCTAAAAAATTATAATTTCTTGATTTAAAAAGTCAGTCATTGTTTGAATAGTAATTCTAGTTCATAATTATTACTTATTCTATAAGCATCCATTCTATCGCTTCTTTTTATGTATTTTAGAGTGTCAAATTACTTTTAGTAATTTATATATCTTCCAAATGGTTTAATTAGTCTTAGCCAACCTCGAAAACTCAAACCTTCATTTTAGAAATTATTCTAGAAACCTAAGCATCAGCAAATTGATGCCTGGTGTTTTCCAGGACATAATTATTTATCCTGGGCTAGACTGATGAACTAAACAGACCAATAAGACTGAAAGGAGAGACTTTTCTTCTATAATTAGAAGAGAAGCCTCCTTTGTTCTTTCCCATTAGATGTGAGTAGATTCACTGTGTCTCCCATTGTTACTAGTAATAAATTCAAAAGGGACAGCCTTGTAATAGGGTGGAATCTATGAATGGCAAAGCAGAGATATGGGAAGATCCCGAGAGTCCACGTGACAGCACCGAGTTACTTAAATCATTGTTTTGAAGAGCTCATCTACTTCCCATGATTTTATACAATATATGTCCTTATTTGTTTAAAGTAGTTTAGTTGAGGGTTTCATTGTTTCAAATGGGAAACAAGATGACAGATCCACCAAAAAAACTCCATAGGTTTAATATCAGAAGTGATTGTTCACCATTTTAGAGGCAATGAAATAGGTAGTGTGGACTTATGGTCAAAAATTGCCTGATGACTGTTGTTTTTAACAGGGCCTGCTGTCCTCTTCCATGATAGCTTCTGAGGCTAAAAGACATTTGCTTGAGTTTTCATGTAATGGGTACAATAAAGGATACCATGACATTTGTAGCTCCACCAATAGCATCTTTTTTATAGAGATGCTCTGTGTTTTGGGGATGTCCTACGCCTTTTTCTGTGTGCAAGGTGCTGCAGGAACCTTGGTCATGAGTAAGACAAGTTCTCAACTCTCATGAAGTGTCCACATGGTGGGGTGGAGGGGGACATAGAGTTCATAAATAACTACAGGGATTGCAGGATAAGAGATGCCCAAGTACCTCTGTGAAGACTCAAGAGAGAATGTAGATCTGGTCAGAGTGATTAGAGAAGATTTTGTGGGGAAAGTGGCTCAACTTTTAGGTTGAGGAAACAGAATGAGCAAAGGGTCATTAAGAACAGAGGTGGGTGGTTTAAGAGTTTATGGTTTAAACTCTCATTGAAGCCAAATTATAGATAGTGGTGAGAAGGAAGACTGAAAAAGTACATTGGCTCAATTGGGAAGGCAACTTAATACCTGCTTTAGGAGTTTGTATGCAGCTCACAAGGTACTAATAAAGCATTAAATGGATTTAGGTAGAATGGATTGGTGTGGGATATAACTTCAGTTATATGGTTATGTTAATATTCCATACAAGAGATATGGAATGGTGGAATTCACCAGATTTGGAAAATGATTAGAAATCATAATCCATTGAGAGTTGGAGGTAGACTTTGGCTTTGAATCTAAATGGCTGGAAGAGATGGTGGACATAGAAAAATCAAGAATAGGAGAGAGTTGGGGGCCCGATTTAAAAGTTTTTCTTTGCATACTCGAGTGACCTGATGTATGGCAAAATATTAATTATATAGCTAACATCTACAGGTTAAATGCAAAAGTTGAATATATATGATCTTTTTTTAAAAAAAAAAAACCTACCAAATCCAGTTTTCAATTAAGTTTCTGCTACAAAATATTCTTAATTTTTCTGTTACCTAGTTCAAATAACCAACTCATGAAGCATTTTGTTTTAAAGAGAGATAAAATAAAAATTGTTCGGGAAAGAGAATGACTTCATTTGGACAATGTATACCCAGACTGATCTTTCCACTAGAAATTTAATTCCACAAATCCTTAGTATAAACACCAGAAAATCGCACCCATTACTAATTGTTGTACCAGGAGCCAACTTATTTTCTCATGCACGAAAAACTCAGTGAATCAGAGAGCATTGCCTGTAACGCAGCTGACAATCTGAGTTCATCGTGAACACATACTCTTATGGCCTTGCAGCTGTCACTTCTTGGAGCTCAGTTCACTGAGGTGGTATGAGAGTCCCTCTCGAAAGTAAACACAGAAGACATTGGTAATTTACCTAAATAATTCTTGGTGCTGCCATCAGTTGCCAACCAAAAACCAGAATAAAAGAACTGTTAGTCCCTCTTGATAATAATGGGAGTTCAGGAAAGAGGTTTGCAGGAGGAGTCCCTTGCTGGATATTTCCCTGCAGCATAGGAAGGAAACCTATCACAGGGCTTCTATTGCTAAAGAATTCTGGTATTTTGTAGAAAAACAAACAAGAGAAAGCAGGGTAAACTATTAGACTTCACCAAATATAGAACAGGGCAAAATGAAAGGACACATGATAGTGGGAAGTCTCACCTTGAATGATGAGATTTAAAAGGAGAAATATAAGACGAGGGGATTTTCAGAGCTGAGGAAAACTCCTTTGAGCGATCATCTGAGAGTGGATGATCTTGACACAAAGTGATGTGTTTACTCTACCCCCAACCAGCATGTACCCTAAAGCCAATGAGCTGAATTTACCTTGGTTCTCACCACTGCTAGAGGAGGCCTGCTTGGCTGTACCACTGCGTGAAATGATAGGGATGGAATAAAACAATAATCCTGGTCTTTGGCAAGATTAACCATTTTACAGAGAAAGCCATGCTCAGATTAGAAGAAGGTGTAATAAATAAAAGTAAGTCTGCAAATATTGGGAAGTGGAATATTTGGTAAAGCATGGATTCCTAGGGAATGTAAACTGATTCTAGTTCATGTTGGGGGCAGGGCAGGGAAGTTCTTCATGTATCTTAGGGCAAGCTAAGCTACAGAGTCATAGATTTGTCTTGGGTCATTGATAAAAATCACAAGCTATTGAAAAATTAATCAAAAGCATAAGTATAGCTAAGATTATCTTAATAGTATTATTCAATTGAACAAATGTCTTTTAAACACATAATATTAATATGATTATTCTTTCATTCAGTAATTGTTATTGAGTTTATGCTTTGTGTCAAAGCAGGATTCTAGGAGCTACCTTTAGAAAACAAACCAGATAAAGCCCCTACCATGAAGGAGCTTATATTGTAACTCATGTTACTTTGTTTAAAATTGAGGGGGGATTCAGCAGGCACAGTGGCACATTCCTATCTAAGCTACTCAGGAGGCTGAAGCAGAAGGATCACAAGTTTGAAGACAACCTGGGCAACTTAGCAAGACCCTGTTTCAAAAAATAAAATAAAATGATCTGGAGGTATATAGTTCAGTGATAAGAGCACTTAATTAGTCTGTATGAGGCCTTGGGTTCCATCTCCAGTACTGCAAATAAACACACAAACAACAACATTGGGGAGATTCAAAGACCCAAAACATCCTGAATAGCTTATATTGTATTTGGGAAGATGAGACAGCAATACAAAGAGCAAGCCCCGCTTCACTTCATAAGATGGCATATAAGATGTGCCAGATGACTCCTCTGTATAACTGCCATAGCAGTTTAGTAGAAGGGGGATTAGAAAAAGCTAAGCACCAAAGAAACAAATAACCCAATTAATAAGTGGGTCAAGGACCTGAACAGACACTTCTCAGAAGAGGAAATGTAATAAAATATAATAATATAATATAATATAATATAATAAATAAACAAATAATAAATAAACAAATATATGAAAATGTGTTCATCATCTCTAGCAATTAGAGAAATGCAAATCAAAACTACTCTAAGATGTCATCTCACTTCAGTCAGAATGGCAGCTATTATGAATACAAACAACAATAAGTGTTGGCAAAGATGTAGAAGAAAAGAAACACTCATACATTGCTGGTGGGACTGCAAATTGGTGCAGCCAATACAGAAAGCAGTATGGAGATTCCTTGGAAAACTGGGAATGGAACCACCATTTGACTCAGCTATCCCTCTCCTTGGTCTATATGCAAAGGACTTAAAAACAGCATTCTACAGGGACACAGCACATCAATGTTTACAGCAGCACAATTCACAATAGCTAAACCGTAGAACCAACCTAGATGCCCTTCAGTAGATGAATGGATAAAAAATGTGGCATATATACACAATGGAATATTACTCAGCAATAAAGGAAAATAAAATCATGGCATTTGCAGGTAATTGGATGGAGTTGGAGAAGATAATGCTAAGTGAAGTTAGCCAATCCCCAAAATACAAATGCCGAATATTTTCTCTGATATAAGGTGACTGAC